ACGACCCCTACACGTGCGCACGTGCAGCTGCACCCCAACCTTGGCAAATGGAAATACACACTAACTGACTTGTGCACGGCACCCTACTAACCAGTCTCTAGTGGCATGCCAAATTTGAGCACAGTCGGCCCGGCCGTTCTCGAGATCTGGAAGCGTCGTCCTGCACGTGCGCACGTGCAAAATGAGTCCCATCTGATTTGTGCACGGCACCCTACTCGCCGATCCCTAACGGTGTGCCAACTTTGATCACAATCGGCCCAGCCGTTCTCGAGATCTGGAAGCGTCACCCTGCACGTGTGCACGTGCAGCGGCACCCCAACCGTGACACATGGAAATGCATTGCGCGTCGGGTGCCTACAACCATGCCAAGTATCAGCGCAATCGGCAAACTAACTACAGAGTTATTAGACTTGTTACCGAACTGACACCTCTTCGTTTTGCACGTGGCACGTGCATTAGGGGTCACCCATACGCATCGAGAACAGCACACTACTGTAAGAAAGGAAGAAGCTATCCCACACAAAAGACCGCGAGTGAATCGGTCCAGTGGTTGCAGAGATATAAGGTTTGTAAAGGCACCCCACAGGCGGCCTACTGCTAATATTTAGCAATAATCAGTGTCACATCCGCACACGGGAGGTATCCCCGTCACCTGTTCGTATCCTCTAATGTGGTTGGGTTCAAGTCACAGTCGAGCCCTGATTTTTTACAGCTTTTCTTAAAACGGCACATCGTGCAGTGACGTTCCATACATTGTTGGAAAGAGCATCGAAAGTTGTATATTTTATTAACTTTTCACTTTGGTATATCTGCAACGTAAAAAGTTATTAGGCAACAAAGACGCTCCCATTGACTTTCCATGTTAAAAATTTTAATTTTCAAATGAACTTTATAAGAAAAAATGAGTTCTCCCAGCTTAACGAAGCATAACGGCATGTACTATGGTCTTTCTTCTACAAGATGTATGAGTTTGGGCGAAATCTATCTCTAAAATTTTGTACAAAGATCGAATGAAAATGTCTCCGCAAAGTCTCGACATCGCCGTCCATTGACTTAACATGGGACACAGCAAAATTCCAACTTTGACCTCGTGCAAAGACACGTTCCGAGATTCTGAGGGGTATACAGCGCACACTGGCGTGTACCCAAACGTGTTTGCCATAAAATGCTGGGAAGAAAACCACCTCTTCCTTGGCTCGTTTTCCCGCCATTGGCGATCGCGCAAAAAGTGTCCAAAACCCCGTTCACTTAACATGGGGAAAATGGAATCGCACGTGCCACGCGCAAAAGACTTCTTAGCGAGTAGCGACCGGTGCCATCAGGTAGATCGCCTGCGGGAGCCCATACCCTGAACTTTTTACGAAGATTGTACATTTCGTCTAGGCCCCCGTCAAGTTGTACTGATTCGCGGCCAGACTTGCAAAACATACCCCGGACAACGACCGCTCCGGTTGTTTTTCAATAGAAAAACACAATTCTAACGAATAGTGTTTGTCTTTTCAAACAACCTGCGGTTACCGGAGTGGGTGTGCTAAAAACTGACGTGCACGGCACCCTATTCGCCCGTCTAGAGCGGTGTGAAAAATTTGGGTGCAATCGGCCCGGCCGTTTTCGAGATCTTGAAGCGGCACCCTGCACGTGCGCACGTGCAGGCTGGGTCCCAACTGACTTGTGCACGGCACTCTATTCGCCGGTCTCTAGCGGTGTACCAAATTTAATCGCATTCGGCCCAGCCGTTTCCAAGATCTGGAAACGACCCCTACACGTGCGCACGTGCAGTTGTACCCCAACCGTGGCACATGAAAATCCATACTTACTGACTTGTGCACGGCACCCTACTAACCAGTCTCTAGTGGTATGCCAAATTTGAGCACAGTCGGTCCAGCCGTTCTTGAGATATGGAAGCGTCAGCCTGCACGTGCGCACGTGCAAACTGGGTCCCATCTGACTTGTGCACGGCACCCTACTCGCCGATCCCTAACGGTGTGCCAAGTTTGATCACAATTGGCCCAGCCGTTCTCGAGATCTGGAAGCGTCACCCTGCCCGTGCGCACGTGCAGCGGCACCCCAACCGTGACACATGGAAATGCATTGCACGGCGGGTGCCTACATCCATGCCAAATATCAGTGCAATCGGCAAACTAACTACAGAGTTATTAGACTTGTTACCGAACTGACACCTCTTCGTTTTGCACGTGGCACGTGCATTAGGGGTCACCCATACGTATCGAGGGTAGCACACTACGTGTGAGAAAGGAAGCTATCCCACACAAAAGACCGCAAGTGAATCGGTCAAGTGGTTGTGGAGATATAAGCTTTGCAAAGGCGCCCCCAGTGCGGCCGACTGCTAATAATTAGCAATATTCAGCGTCGCGTCCGCACATGGGAGGTGTCCCCTTCACCTGTTCGTATACTCTAATGTGGTTGGGTTCAAGTCACAGTCGAGCCCTGATTTTTTACAGCTTTTCTTAAAAACGGCACATCGTGCAGTGACGTTCTATGCACCAGTGGAAAGAGCATCAGAAGTTGTATATTATATTAACTTTTCACCTATATGTCTTACTAAAGATAAAAGTTATAGAGGAATAAAAACGCTCCCATTGACTTTCCATGTTAAAAATTTTCATTTTCCAACGAACTTTATTAGAAAAAAACGATTTCTGCCAGCTTAACGAAGCATACCAGCATGTACTACGCTCTTTCCTGTACAAGCTATAAGAGTTTGGGCAAATTCTATCTCTAAAATTTTGTACAATGAACGAATGAAAATGTTTCTGCAAAGTCTCGGCATCGCCGTCCATTGACTTAACATGGGACACAGCAAAATTCCAACTTTGACCTTGTGCATAGAGGTGTTGCGAGATTCTGGCGGGTATACGGCGCACACGGGCGTGTACCGGAACGTGTTTGCCATAAAATGCTGGGAAGAAACCCACCTCTTCCTTGGCTCGTTTTCCCGCCATTGGCGATCGCGCAAAAAGTGTCCAAAACCCCGTTGACTTAACATGGGGAAAAGAATTCGCACGTGCCACGTGCCACGAGATTCTGGCGGGTATACGGCGCACACGAGCGTGTACCTGAACGTGTTTGCCATAAAATGCTGGGAAGAAAACCACCTCCTTCTTGGCTCGTTTTCCCGCTATTAGCGATCGCGCAAAAAGTGTCCAAAACCCCATTGACTTAACATGGGCGAAAATGGAATCGCACGTGCCACGCGCAAAAGACTTCTTAGCGAGTAGCGACCGGTGCCATCAGGTAGATCGCCTACGGGAGCCCATACACTGAACTTTTTACGAAGATTGTACATTTCGTCTAGGCCCCGCTCAAGTTGCCCCAATTCGCGGCCAGACTTGCAAAACATAGCCCGGAGAACGACCGCTCCGGTTGTTTTTCAATAGAAAAACACAATTCTAACGAATAGTGTTTGTCTTTTCAAACAACCTGCGGTTACCATACACTGAACTTTTTACGAAGATTGTACATTTCGTCTAGGCCCCGCTCAAGTTGCCCCAATTCGCGGCCAGACTTGCAAAACATAGCCCGGAGAACGACCCTCGGTTGTTTTTCAATAGAAAAACACAATTCTAACGAATAGTGTTTGTCTTTTCAAACAACCTGCGGTTACTCGACATCACTTTTGGCTCCCTCGCATATGCTCTGCATGGCTAATAGCTTTTGGGTTTTTCTCCATCACTGCAATCCCATTTCCTCACATGTGACACTTGTGTCTCGAGTGGTTACACGGGTCTCTAATTCTCCACGCTGCTCCCTCACACGTGGCTCGACTGGCCGCTGCCCTCCTGTGTCGCTCCTGCCGTCGCTGCTGCTCCAGAGTCGGCAGGTCGCGCTAGTCCCAGCTGCGTCGTCTCCGACTGACCAGGAAGACCACCAGCAGCACCAGGAGGATAAATGCCAGAAGCGCGCCGCCGATCACCAGGTAGTGTTTGTCTTTTCAAACAACCTGCGGTTACTCGACATCACTTTTGGCTCCCTCGCATATGCTCTGCATGGCTAATAGCTTTTGGGTTTTTCTCCATCACTGCAATCCCATTTCCTCACATGTGACACTTGTGTCTCGAGTGGTTACACGGGTCTCTAATTCTCCACGCTGCTCCCTCACACGTGGCTCGACTGGCCGCTGCCCTCCTGTGTCGCTCCTGCCGTCGCTGCTGCTCCAGAGTCGGCAGGTCGCGCTAGTCCCAGCTGCGTCGTCTCCGACTGACCAGGAAGACCACCAGCAGCACCAGGAGGATAAATGCCAGAAGCGCGCCGCCGATCACCAGGCCCAGACTGGTCGAGCTGAGCACCAGCCACCGTAGGCTGGGGAGTTCAGAAGCATTGGTTACACGGTCATTTGTGGTCGGAAGGTGCCTTTTATCCCAAAATAACTTTACTTATACCTATTACAATTACATACCTTTTCCTGCAGTATTTCCTCCCATTCCAATTAATCCATTTAACTCGCTTTCTTTCTAACTCCATTCCAACCTTCTCGATCCATATCCATTCCGTCTTATGAAAAGTTATTGCATTCCAAGTTTCAGCTCGCCCTCCCTTCCTCCATTTCTCTCTCTCTCTCTCTCTCTCTCTCTCTCTCTCTCTCTCTCTCTCTCTCTCTCTCTCTCTCTCTCTCTCCTCTCTCTCTCTCTCTCTCTCTTTCTCTCTCTCTCTCTCTCTCTCTCTCTCTCTCTCTCTCTCTCTCTCTCTCTCTCTCTCTCCTCTCTCTCTCTCTCTCTCTCTCTCTCTCTCCTCTCTCTCTCTCTCTCTCTCTCTCCCTCGTCCCTCTCCGTCCGTCCGTCCCCCTCCCTTCCTCCCTCCCTCCGTCCGTCCCCCTCCCTTCCTCCTTCCCCTCAACTCACAGACGTTGCGAGGTCGACAGTGTAGATACAATGTTCCCGAGCGGTCGACCGCCATAACGTTGGCCCTGGGTTGACGCAGAAGGGACGGCACCGACCCTTCAGTCGCGGCTGCCCACGACGACCTGGCCGGCGGTCAGCTGACCACCCCGCTGGGGAACATGTGCACCTCTTGTAGACCTGCAAACAAAGAGCAAATGGCATTAGATAACATCCATGGCTATTGAGTGTTAGTGCTAAATATAAGTTAAAGGGACTGCAACATAAGGTGAACAAAATAAATTGACCGCGATAGGAACCCACCTGATCCGGTGTCGGAGACCCCAAATTCCACTGTCCGGAACCGGTCATTACAGTCGTCCTCGGTGAGGTAGTCACCGCAATCTACGTCAGCTCCTGGCAGGACTGTGCACGTCGGAGCCGAAATATCCTCCTTCTGCAGGGGCGACACAAGGCGTGAGAGGCGAGACAAGGCGATAAGGTCCAGCGGACATGAGTCATAGCTGAGGGCGGGTTTAGGTATACAGGGTGAGGCAGAAAGATTTACATGTTGGTTTTCAGACCATAACTCAAAAAGTTTTGGACGGATTTTAGTGAAATTTTGCATGCGGCTTCCCAACCGACTCGTGTATAGCTGTTATGATAGTTTTTAATTTTGGCATGGTTGCTGAGCTATGGCGGAGATGACACAGAGTCCAAATTGCGGTGCCGATGCAGGCTGGCCACAGCGTCCGAAACGCTCCCAAACAGCTCGGTGTTGGCAAAAAAAAAACTGCTAACAAGATAATGAAATGCCTGAAAGAGACAGGTACAGTGTCGATGAAGTCCTTGCCAGGTAGAACAAGGCATGTCCGCACCAAAAAAGCTGGTTGATATCGTGCACAGGATGGTGTTTCGAAATCCTAGCTTAAGGCAATATAAAGGCACGTGCATCAACGGCGGTTGCTATTTAAATCCATTCTTTCTTAGGTTTGACAGATTATGGTTTTGTTTTGTTTTGTTTGTGGCAAGTTATATCAATGAATGAAAAGAACATTCGTTCGATGTGTTACACAATTCCATTTCAAATGTCATCATCAATGCATGAGCGATTTGGGCATCAACCCCTCCTTTCTCATACGACATCCTCGGTAATCACCTGGGCCAGTACAGTGACAGTCTGGTGGGCGGCAGCGCCGTGTGCCCTATTCTCCAGCAGGGCCGAGACGAGCACGGTAACCGAGCCCCGGCGTGCCAAGGGCGGCACGTAGTACCGCAGGGTAACCGTGCGACTCTGACGTGGCGCGAGAGTTACACGGAGCTCACTCAGCGATTGGAAGTAGCTGAAAGGGGAAAAGAGAGTAGCTGAAGTGAAACGATGGTCGTACATTGCTTGACATCCACTGCATACAAAACACACGTTGCAATAATTTCAAAGCAGGATAAAGCGGTAGCACGGCCTGAACCAAAGACGTGCTCGTGAAGATCGATACGAAGTGACGATTCGAAAAAAAAACGAAACTTCGAAGCGGTAATGTAGAAATGACGTTATTATTCTTGAATATGTTTGATGCACTTTTAGCCAATACATATTCGTACAATAGTATATTCGTACAAGATTCACTGAATATGAAAATGATCCCTTTTGGCTCTTACCCTTAAGTGTGCTGGTAGCGTCATTCGTTAGTGACTTGAAACTGGAGCTCGCCGCTCTCACCGGGCCGGGCCGGACTGGCCTCGGGTCTGACCGGCTCCACACGCACCGAGGACAGGGTGGGCCGGAGGAGGGCCTCCCGGACCCACCGGCTGCCGTCCTGATCGGTACCGACCACCTGGTATGTCCAATACATGCTGGGTGAAGACATTGGTCATGTGCGCATGGTGCATGCTACAAACACTCGTTATTGTATTGTCAGGTACGAGCGGCGGTCTACCTATAGGTGCGAGTTCATTTACCCGCTGGGTAATAAAGATGGATCAGCAGCCGGTAGAAGCAGCGCCAGTGGTTCCCTATTGTATATTTATTATTTACTTATTTATTTTTATTATTTCATTCATTTTTACGCAACACACTTTTGCGTTTCACACACAAAAACGTTTAGTTGACGTAATGTAATTTGGAGTTGTGCCAGTGTCAGGAGTTGTTCATGCTTGTTGGTTGTTCCGTGTAGAAGGAGATTCAGTTTACCTGTGTCTATTATGCGCAATCGACGCAAGTGCTAGTTTTCCATCCTTGGTATGCTAGGCAGTGCCTAACACTCCAGGCAGCGCCACGAGGAGGCGGATGGAGGAACAGGGATATACCTTGGGCTGTGGAGGATTGTCGCACACCAAAGGTTCATCCTGCACCGTGCTGCCCGCCCTAGAGGCATATACATTTAAGTCTAAACAGTGCCATATGTAACCGTGGCAAAATTACGTTAAAAGCAAACTGCCTCGAGAACCCGTTAAGGAGATGTAACGGATACATCTGTGGGTGGGAAATGATATAGGGTGGCTAATGAAATGGCCCGAAATTGAACATTTCATTAGCAGTGCCCCAGCCGTAGTCACGTCCTACATTGCGCCTTGTGACTCACACGTGCTCTTTAGGACTTGCGGACACTGTCCCCATCCGTTCAACGGAGCAGAGCGTGTGTACGGGGCCCGCACTTGCGACCGTTTACACCCCGATAGTGCGGTTCCAATCGGCACCATCCGTGATGTTGGCGGCCGTGGCAAGCTTTACTTTGCCACGATCGCCCTCATCACCGATTTGCGTCATGCATCGGGGTCCCACACGCGGCAGTCATACCCCACGACTGCACTACGGCAGCCCGGCTCGGGGTTGGGCGCGCACATATTGGGAAGCTTGCAAGGCGCAGCTCCTCCCAACAGCAATCATGACTGAGTCGGGACGTACGACCAGCCTGCATCCCCCTACTCTCCCACCGTGCCGTGCGGGCTACGTGACAGCCTCGCTGCGGTAAGAGAGTGGCAACGTGATGCGCTGCGGACCATTTAAACCTGGATAGCGCAGCTCCAAAGGTACGTGCAATGCACGAGGGTCCTCCCCACAGCTCATCCAGAGGTTGATCGCGCTGTTTTGCCATTATGGCGACTCCGACGCGTAAGAACTGAAAACGTATTCAATATCGTTATCGTCGTGGTCAGTTTGATGCCAAAACAGCGAAATCGGCAACGAGGATAAGTTGCTCTCACCCTGTTCCACTGGATATCGTCCAAGCTTGGGTCATCTTGGGGGCTGAGCGCGTGGGGCGATCAGTCGATGGCAGGGGAGTCCGGTTGTGCCAGTGCCGTGTACTCCTGATCGCGGGCGTAGTGCGTAGTAGACAAGGTGCGAACACTAAAGCACCGAGCCAATGGCGCACCACTCTTTCACCACTCTCACTCACTCACACCACTCTTTTCTAGACCAACGTACCCAATAACACACACTATTGAATAAGTACACCTAGTAACACTCACGGTAACACAGTAACAACTCACAGTAACAGCTCACAGTAACATCACTAACACTCCCTCACTAGTTCAGTGAGTTCCCAGTGACACGTTGCGTAAGCGTGCAACGGTTTGCTCAGGTGACAGTTTACCACACGGCAAATCCACGACCGATGCGTAGCGTCCTTTCTCACGAGATGCGGCGACCCTTACCACGCCGGCCCCGACCAGCAGACGTGGAGGCCGGCCGCTTGGACGGTTTGGTGGCAGTGGGGCGCCGTCGTCCACGCTGTATTTTACTGCGCAGAAGACAGCAGTGCTGCCGTGAGGTGAGATATATTGGTCAGCAAGGATCAGTGCCATCATCCGTCTCCGACATTTTCTGGATAACGTGCTGCATATCACTTACAGACACATCCACTCCCTTGGCATGCAGCTCGTCACACACAATAGAGGCCACGTCGCGTGTGTGCAGCCGCCTCCAAGCCACGTGGACAGCGTCTCCGATGACATTATCGGCGCTACTCCACTGGCCGTCATCCTCGGCAGCCACAAAGTGACGCCACGTCTTTGCGGCATTGATTTTATTTGGCGCTCGAAAATCTCGGCCTCCAGCACGTCTGGATTCAGACGCTGAACCTGAATCTCCTCGACAGTTGGCCACTGGTCAGTGGGAACGTGCAGGTGATGTGGGTGTCTGACACGACCCACCACCGTCCAGAAGCCGGGCGTCTCTACCCACGCTTTCACTTTGGCCCCACTCGATCCAGCGTGGCGCCCTGGCCTTTAAAGCCGGTGAATGCGCTGCCGCCCTCCAGCGGCGGTCCAACACCAAACTCGGTCCGACTCTCTTCACCGCCGCCTATCGCCCGATTGTTTTTGCCCTTGTCACGGGCGCGCTTTACCATCCGTATTGGCACCAGATCGTCGGCATCTTCGATGCCGAGGATATTTGGGCCACGATTCTCGGTGTAGTTTGGAACGCGCACCACAATGAACTCGGGCAGATGGGCGGGTGCTTTGCGTGTGAAATACCAGCTGGACGGTGCTAGACGCCGCGACCAGCTCGTCGAGACGATGCTCATCGCCGTCGACGGTGTGACCGTTGACCTTCACGATGACACTGCCCACGGGAACCTGGTACATACGCTCACGGTCCGAGGCGGGTGTGTCGAGGGGAGTGGTCAGCGTGACGCCACTGGTCCCACCCTTTCTCGGTACTCACAGCTGGACAGTGTTACCTGCCAGTCATCCTCCAATACAGCGGTCCGACGAACTCGACGTGAGCGCCATTGAACAGACCGACACTGGGTGCCACGTTTTCCAACAGCATCAGCGGCAGACCACTGCACGCAAAGAACACTGCCGGTATGCTGCGGAATCTCTGGGTGACACCTTTTGCAGTCGAGCTGCTTTTTTCGTCGGTAAATGCTGTGCGTTCACGGCCATTACCGGCGTGTCACGCTCGTTGGCGAAGCGACGAGCGCCCTGGCGTTGTCCGACTCGACGGTAGCACGATGCACGGCCAGCTCGCTGAACCAATGGTTACCGTGCAGTGTGACGGCGCCAGCCCAAAGTGGATCAGCAGCCATGTGCTCGCGGTGGCCGTGTTGTCGCGGAGCCACTGCAGACTGGCGTGTGTCGCCCTGCCGTAGCGAACGATGGAATGATCACCTTTGTGAAATGGTCGGCTAGCTCGTCGTTCTGAACAGTGCGCCGCACTTCATTTAAGTAGACGGTCTCGTAATCGCCGTCCAGTGCTGCCGCACGGAAACGAGCCACCGCCCGGCGCTCATCATCATTGAGCGTGTTCGGCTCCCGTGAAGCGGCGTGACTCCACGCCGCGAAGCCGTCCACACGTTTCCAGCGCCGGCATACGAAACACCTCACGGAAGGCGAGCATGCCCAGCCGCGATGCCTCGCAGCAGTCTTTGCCGTCGTCCATTCGCTGGCGGAGACTCCACACAGGACTGTCGCCGATCGGCATATCTGTGCCGGTCACCGACAAGCACGACCCGATGTCGTCCAAATTGATGCCGGCCTCCTCGAGTCGCTTTACTATCCAGCGCATCATCCTGCGCTGGATCATTGAGAACTCGTCGAATATGAGAAGACCCAGCTCAGGACCGAGCCTTTCACAGAGTGCAGCAAACTGTCGCTCTCGGCCGGCAACGGGTCATCGCCTACTTGACCGACTCGTATAGCAAAGAGACGGTGGATGGTGGTCGCACCGTGTGCCATATGGAACGATGCGCAGCCCTTGGCGCCGAAATTTGACTACGTCAGTCCAGTCGGCCTCATCACGACGAGCAGCTCGTTCAACTCGTGCACGGCAGAGCGCAGCGTAGTCGATTTGCCCGCGCCAGGATCACCCAGCAGAATGCACGCAGTGCCTTGGGCCGTTTGTCCTAATATCGGGACCAGGGGCGCGACAGGCTCGACGATGCGTGACGACCGATTACGGCGCCATTTGGCCACCGCCTGATCGTAGGCATTCCATTCACGACAGGAGCGTCGCCACTCGCGCTGTTCTTTCAGATAGCCTGTGACCAGACGCGGCAGCACCATGACGTCCACTCGGCGTCACCGGAGCAAATGCGCAGCGTCTCCGGCGCTCAGACTAGCCATCGGCCATAGTTGCGACGCACATGTTCTGGATTGACTATGCGATCGCCGAGCCACTGCGCTTGGAAGTCGTATCCGGCCGGGTTTGCGACGCTCGCCGCCGCTCTGTCAGCTCGCTGCACTGCGTCGTCAATGTCCTCTGCAGGACACGCCAGCATGGCGTCCAGAGCCTCTGGTAGAATC